TTACTAGGTGTAATTAGAAACAAATATTGGAAGAAGAAAACACTCCAAAACACAGATGGTCCGTTTCGGCTGTTATCCCCAGGCGAACCATTGTCAAAGCCTTGACTACCAGGAAAGGAGGCGCAGCCATGTGTTCCTCTCTTCCCCGCCCCTCCCCCCGCTCCCACCATGTGAGCGCCTTTGGCAGCGTTGATACACTTAAACTAAGTAATTGGAAATCCTGGTTGAATGCAGTAAATTGGCAGCCGGAGGGATTTTTAATTCTACAAGTTATTCTCCAGCTTCTCTCATTTTGTAACCTCGGCATGTTAGTTGTTCTTATTCAGTATGTTTTCTTGTGCCTCTCGAGGTTTTTAGGTGGAACAGTTTATTTTAGCGGCCTGACGTTTCGACGTAATCGTCTTTTTCAAAGGCCTCTGTTCCACCGCAAGCGGAATAACCCGCTATACCATAAGTCGACCAGATGTACGATTACTTCGAAACGTCAGACCGCAAAAATAAACTGTTCCACATAAAAACCTCGTGGGGCACAATTAAAACATACTGATATAAGATCTAAATTGGCAGCCGGAGGAATTTTTAATTCTTCAAGTTATGTTTTTGGGACAGAAAGCCATGATTCTCTTGAATGTTTTCCGCTTTGCTCCTGAAGCTGCAGCTCATGTTATTTGATGTAAGAGAACTCTTTCCCAGATATGGATGCCGTTAACGAGCTGCAACATCTAGAAGCCTTTTTGGTTGATGAGCATGAGCGTGATCAGAAGAAAATAGAGAATCTCTATGAATGTGTGCAATATGCCGCTGCAATCGTTCCGCGATTGTGAGTTATAACGTTCTGGTATTATATCTTCTTTGCTACTATCGGTTACATTATAGTTTTCCTTATTTTCCTGGAAGCAGTTATCAGTCCAAGCTTGCAGGGTATCATATGACCTTTTGAATTTTTTCGACATGAATAAATGCCTTCACTTTCTCGAATATTTTTGTCTATCCCCTCTTCCATTTTAAACATTTGTTTGCGAGGCATTTATTGTTAATAATTTGCACCAAACTACCATATCTTCAGTAAAACTTTCAATTTTCTTTTCCAGATATCTCTTAATAACTATTGGAGTAGTATATATAAAATGTGGCGAGGACACTCGTCGTAATATCCTCAGCGATCTCGTCGAAATGTGTCGTGGAGTGCAACATCCGTTGAGGGGTTTATTTCTGAGGAATTATTTGCTGCAAAGCACTCGAACCCTTCTTCCAGATAACCCTGATCTAACCACTACAGAGTACGTCTTTTATTATATTCCCTTGATCTGGCTTCTCAGTTGATTATTCATGCCGCAGATTTATTGATGTAAATAAGGAGTGCATTTTTAGTGTAAATGACTTGCCTGAGTCGGATAAGGAGCCACGCGAATGTGATGGCACTGTATCGGACGCTATTCAACTTTGTGCTAGTGAATTTCGCCGAAATGAACAAGTTGTGGGTTCGAATGCAACATCAAGGTCCGTCAAGAGAGCGAGAGAAACGGGAAAAGGACCGTATGGAGTTGAGGTCAGTCTTCATTGCATTTTTGCGTTTTTTCTCTCTTTTTTTGTAGGAGTTACTCGAAGTCACCATATTAACCGAGAAAATTGATTGGGAATGAAAATCACTTGACGCTTCGAAAATCCTACAAATTAGAGAGGGGTCGGAAGCGAAGAGGCAGTTGAGTCGGTTTTGGGGCAACTCACCATTTTCTGAAATACGATGCCCGCTAATTTCATTAGCTAAACGAACCTTTCCCAGCCTCTGTCTTCCTTCATCGATACCGCCGTGAGCAAGAGAGGGGGGGAGGTCGGTCAGAATTAAACTATCATTTTTCAAAGGTGTCGAAAATAGTAGTGCGTCCCGTAATGATCCAAAGTACGACCCCCCTGCCTCCTCGCGTCAATGTACGACTCCCCGCCTTGTTGAAGATCACAACGTATGTAGGTCCTGGCTTAGAGGAAGGACGCAGCTAAGCATGGTCGTCCCTTTACGCTCATCATCATGCGGGAAGGAGGGACCAATGGAGTTTTATAAGAATTGCCATAGAGACAATATGAAAGTACAAACATAATATAAGATTGAACTAGGAAACACAAAATAAAGACTCATCTCTTTCTCACCGTCCGCGCCACGGGAACATGGTATGGGAAGGGAGGCACGGTAGTGGCGTAGTTTACTGGATCCGCCCACCCAGCAATCGCGAATGGCGCCTTAACACGGGTTTTATGCGCACATTTGTTATCGTCATCTGTTGAAAAATTATGATTGACAACGTTTCAGTGTTTCTGCTGTTATTTTCGAAAATTGGCAAGAATTATTTCCGATATTAGCAGAATGGAGCAGCATTCACTCTAATGCATAAAAGTTTAAGGAATTGCATCGCATGATTTGAGTTTGAAAACTACACAAGTGCAGAAAGCATACTTGTTAAAGGATACTCGTTGGAACGAATCTTGTTCGACTGTCACAACTTGAAAATCTCACTGAAGATATGTATGTGAAGGAAGTCTTACCAAGTATTCTCGAGGCAGTCGTTTCCTGTCGAGACCACATTTCACAGGTATATATTAGCTGTTATGAGTGTCTCCTCATTTGCAACTGGACATAAGTTTTTGTGAGGCCGATTGCGAATCTTGCGGGTTTAAAATCGTGAGCATCTAAACCGAGCATGGTCGAAATGGGAATCCCTAAACGATGGAGTCGTATTCGGTCGTTAGAGGGAGGGTATAATGTTTGTTTTGAGCCCCATCTTCCTTCTCATCCCGCTCGGCGGCAGTTTGCTGAGGAATCATGGAAACAAAATCTGAAAAAATGTGGCAGCAAGTTGGGAAGAAAACTGATAGGACGGGGTAAGGATGGGGATAGTGTCAGAGAGAACGGATAGGGGTATATTTCGCCAAAAATTTACCCCAGCAGCAGGACGTGCCTGATTCGACATACGAAGTGTCCGGCCATGATTGGCAGTATGGTCTTTGCAACCTCCATAAAGCACAATCTAGTCAAATATTTACGGACCTGTTGAGGTTAAGAGAAGAGGTGGGGAATTCCATACACATTTCTTGGCGTCGACGGCCTCTGAAAGCAGACTAGGCTCATCTGTGGCTCCTTTTTCACTGCCTGTGGTGCGACCTACGAAACCTAAGTTAGCAAGTCTGTATCACCATGTGATAGAAAACGCTAAATCAGTGAGCTGGCAGCACAATTTTCGACACTTTCATCCTGTTGTGTATCACACCGCGAGCAGCGTAGTCGTTTATTATGTCGAAGCGAAGCCGAACGAAAAGTGAACCATACTCGACAAACAGTCTTTTATACAGGAATGATCTGGTGTCGCTCAGTACTACTATCACTTAGAGTAAACAACTACCATCATTCCTCAACACCTCCCCCCTACGAAATACGTATCATATAACACTACCCCGTTTCATTTCTGGATTCACTTGAAGACGGCTGGGTGCTGTCGGTGTAACGTTTCGGCCTTGCCTTGTATCTGCCGGCGGTGCAGCGACTGCATCTCGATTCAACATGTCTTCATTTGAATCGGTCGAGGTCTTCCTTTGTTGGTTGTGCTTAGCTTCTTTCAGCTTTTTCTTGGGATTCTCTTCATAGATGGATTCATTAGGTATTTCTGCTCTACTGGTAGTGACTCCTTTTGATCTTGGTCGAATTTGGTCAATGGTGTCTTCTCCAAAATTGAGTCATACTTCCATCACACATCGGTACATTGACTTGACCATTGACGGTTCTTCACGCGAGCTGATATCCATTTCTTTTGTCCAGGGCGAAAGTCTCTTGTCCATACAGTTTGTTCCATCTGATACGACTTTTCTGGTGTTCTGTGATGGGGTTTGGACTGCATCCCTGTCTTCAAACTGCGTGATTGTGTCTCGACCTCATCAGTTTCGTTCAGCAGCGTGAGATTTGTCCTCATTTGTCGTTCCAAGGAATAACTCTGCTGGTGAAACTTGTCCGGGAGTCGAAGTACTCGGTGCTCTCCGATAACACTTCAGAAACTCTGTGAGTGCTTCCAACTTTCCTCCCTCTTTCGATTTGAGTAGAGTCCTCTTCAAGTGTCAACAAAACGCTCTGCTTGGCCATTTGATTGCGGGTGGAAGGGCGGTGAACGGACGTGTTGAATGCCTTCCTTGGCGCAAAATCTTGGAACTCTCTGGAGGTAAACTGCGTCCCGTTGTCTGACACGATTATTCTCGGATTTCCGAAATGGGCGAACAGCATTCTGAGTTCTCTCAGGGTTGCGTTCGTTGTTGCCGATGACATTTCGAATACTCTGGCCTACATTTGAATATCAGAGTTCGATCACTATAATACATTTTGAATTCGTTTCCCAAGGTTTCTTCTCGTCTGGCCATGAGCTTATAGCTGTCTTCCTTGGCATTTTTGCTGTTTCTTGACAGTAGCGGCAGTGGCGCACATTTTTCTTCGATGTCACGTATTGATGTTCGTCGAGTAAGACATATCCCGCGAGCACCTCTTCATTCTGTCCTTCCAATGTCCACTGTGACTCGTATCAACCACTGTTCCACGTAGACTGACATGACGATCCTGGTGCCCAAAATTATAAGCATCCTCGTCTTGTAGAAAGTGTATCTACGAAAGACACTCCAATTTCGCATTTCTTATGAAGCTTGACTGCATTTTTCTTTGAGCATTCGTTGTGACGCTTCGACAATTCCTGTCCTCCTGAACTCTTCCCTGAATAGAATCTGTGCAGGGTACGCGTTAAGGTAGAGCCCCATACCAGCGAGAATAATGTCCTGCTCAATTGGCAATGCACAGACATGCTTTTCTTTAATCTGGTCCGTGGGAATGAGTCTAGATAATGCATCTGCTTGTCCAAATTCAGTTGTGCTTCGATACTCGAGGGTGAAGTCATATCCCAGCAGTATAAGCTTCCATCTTTGAAGTCGGTTTGCTGTGTAGTTTTGTACCATTTCCTTGGTCCCAAAAATATGTAGCACGGCTTGTGATCTGTCAGCAATTTGAATCGACGTCCATATATGTAGCGATGGAATTTCCGGACAGCGAATATCAAGGCAAGTCCCTCTTTTCGATTTGGCCATAGCTTCTTTCTGCAGCAGTGAGGCTTCTACTAGCGTGGCATATTGCCTTCTCTGTACCATCTGGCATCTTGTGAAGAATAACGGCTCCAATTCCATAGTCCGATGCGTCAGCAGCGACTATTATTTCCAAGCTGGGATCAAAAATGTTTCAAAAGCAAACCGAAGGACAACGTCTTTGCACTTTGAAAGCTTTCTTCACATTTGTTTGTCGTCAGTGAAAAAGGTATTCTTTTTCAATAATTCGTGCAGAGTGGGGCGCGTAATTTTGGCCATTTCTGCACATAATGATCCGTATAACTGAATCAGTTCAGGAACGAAACGTACTTCTGCAACGCTTCTTCGGGGCTGGCATCTGACGAATGACCTCAACTTTCTCTGGATCAGGACGTCTTCCATCCTTATCGATGATAAATCCAAGGTAGCGAATCCTCGGCATGAGAAAATTGCATTTCTCCAAACGGACGTGGAAGCCATATTCAGTTATTCTATCAAGCGCTTCCAACTGGCGTCTCTTCATATGTGCGGCCTGTGACAATGACATCGTCCAAATATGTAGCAACGCCTCTCAGTCCAGATCATCGAATCCATAATCTGTTGAAAAATGCCAGGTGCTGATTTGACTCCGAAGGGTAGACGATTGTAACGGTATTGTCTCTTGTGTGTGCTTATCGTCAACATCGCCTTCGATTCTTCTTCGACTTCTATCTGCAGATACGCGTCCGCCAAGTCGATTTGTGTGAAAATCTGCCCTCCGTTCAGCCGTGTGAACACCTCTTCTGTAGTAGGTAATGGATGCTGATGCAGTAGCAAGGCGTCGTTCAATCCTGTTGAGAAGTCGGCACATAAACGAATCTGTCCATTCTTCTTCTTGACTGCAACGACGGGAGCGGCCCATTCCGAATGATCAACTGGTGAAATCACACCAGTGGAGACCAAACGATCAATCTCTGCATCTAATTCTGGCACGGAGGCATAAGGGACTGGTCGCTTCTTTTTGAAAACAGGTATTGTGTTTTCCTTCAAGAACAACTTCGCTTTCCTTTTCTTGCATCGACCAAGCTCGCAGCTGAAAACTTCTGCGTATCGCTTCTTCAGGTCTGCAACTAACTGTGCTCGGGCAGTTTCCGCTTCGCTCACCATTCGACAGTGGTATTTGCTTTGCAACTCCTTGTATGCGGGAAGTTGAATACACCATTCCAAACAATAGATTTGTAGTCCGGTGATACGTAGGCAATAACCATTTCCTTGAAATTTCGTTCCCGTAGTACGGTCTCTCACGGAAGAAGTCTGTGGAGAATCTTCCATCAATCTTCATCGGTGATCCGTCTGCCGTTTTAACTGGCATATTACAGGATTCCAAGGGTGGAGATCCAGCTTTTTTCCATGTTCGACGAGATATCAGCGTGATATCTGCTCCAGTGTCGAGTTGGAAACGTAGAGGATGTCCTCTGACATCGACATCGACGTATGTTCTTGCTTTCTCAGGGGCAAAAGTTGCGACATTCCGGCATTGCTTCCTTTTACGACGGTGGTGCTGCCTTTTCGGTTTCTTGGAGATCTGTTTGAGAAAGTGGACAAGCGCTCTAAAATGTGGTCCTCTCACACATCCGAAGCATTTGACCCTTCTTTTTCTGAACAGCATGGATGTCATGGCTTGTTCCCATATTGGCGTTATCCATCTTCAAAGCTGTGAAATTTTCACAGTCAGCAACGAGATCTTACATGCATGCATGGCGTCTTCCGCTTGCGTATCGAGCCTACGCAGCATTCGAAGACGTACTTCCTGGAGTGAAGGGTCCTGAAGACCTGCGACGAACTGCAAAGTCTTCAGCGCCGTGTAGTCCATTTCCTTTAAGCAAGCTTCTTCGTCCATCCGCTTGATCATATTAGCGTACTCCCGAAACGGTATGTTGTCTGGAAATCAGGTGCTGCGGCAGGGGTATATCTTCCAGACACATCATATGCGTCGTCGACTAACGTTTTCTTGGATGCGAATAACTTCTTGGAGCTTTGCTACTGTGGAATCGAGGTCAATCTCGTGCGGTTGTAACGGAAGAATATCGTCTGCATACCTGCGATACGCGCTATCCTCCAGTTTCAACAGAATAAGATCTCTCTTCTTGTTATCTGGCATACTCGACTCTCGAATCATTGAGCCGCTACGTTATCACAAGAATGCTGAGTTGTGGGCAAAAGTCATAGCCCCAGGGCGGGAGTCCAAGTATTCGAATCATTGAGCCGTACCTTTTATACCAATAATCGAATGTCAATCCGGCTTCTTCATCTGCTGTGAACTTCTGGATTTCCTTGTTCAGCTGGTCTTCCTGCTGAAATTGAAACTGCTGAAGCATAGACTGAAGGAGTACCTCAAGCGTGGCTGGGGCAGAAATGCGAGCCCGGAGACTTCGCAATCTCGGATCCTTGGCTAGTCATTTGTTCTGGTATGTCTTGGTATAAGCTGATTCTGGTACGGGTGAGTCCTGGTAGTCCTGGTGCTCCTGATCGCCAATGTTGTGTATCACACCGCAAGCAGCGTAGTCGTTTATTATGTCGAAGCGAAGCCGAACGAAAAGTGAACCATACTCGACAAACAGTCTTTTATACAGGAATGATCTGGTGTAGCTCAGTACTACTATCACTTAGAGTAAACAACTACCATCATTCCTCAACACCTCCCCCTGCAAAAAGGATTC